GATTTATTATAACTTTTTTTATTTATTATTTATATCTGTACGTTTGTTGCCTTTCACCTAAAACAAATGTCCTATGGGATAATAAAGTATTATCTGATTCTCGGGGTTATTCTTTTTATTATTTGTTTTTTAAAGAAATTTTATTTACTCAACATAGCCAATTGATTTTAATGTTTTGGGTTATCCAATTTGGCGTCACTGGCTTCAATCGTCATAATGATAAAAACACATCATGCCGTCTCCAGTTAAAGCTTCTTAGTAGATGTGGACAGAAACTTAATATTCGCCAAAAAAAAAAAAAAAAAAACAATTCTATTTTTTCTTCTGATGTATAATAAACACGTTTTTTTTTCTCTCTTAAGACAATTTCATTTATGATATTCAAGTGTGAAAGGTACCTTACAGAGAACAAAGTTTTAACAAAAAAGTGTCCCACCGTTCTCCATTATTATAAACCAGGGTGTATGTTTGTTATTAGGAACTTGTTTGAATTAATTATTGCATGATTTATCACAAAATGTAAAGAACATAAAACAAATCAAGAATTTTGAAAAGTATTTAGAAAACAACAGAAAATCTTTTTTTTTTCTTTTTTTTGTTGAAAAATCACGTTCCTGTGCACATGTACCTGTGATATTGGGTACTCAGAAATAGAGTTACCTCCTACAAAATATAAGACATTTAAAAATAGCGCCCGATATAGTTCCCACGATCACTAATGACATCGTTTCCTTTGGGTTCATGGGTTGATGGAAACTGAGAGGGTCCCAAACCCAGCCAATACTATCATATACTACCTTATTGTTGGATTGGATGCTCCATCCTTTAATTACAGGGGGGGTTGGATGGCTGAATGGTTAGCGTGCGCGCGCTGTATCATAAAGTCTGTCATTGAGTCGACTGGCGTGGTTTCGAATCCCCGGTTGTACGTGACAAGGAGTAGGGGCGCCTGTCCAACCTCGTGGGTTTTCTCCGGGTTCTCCGGTTTCCTCCCACTGCTAAAGACCCCTATGCGCAAGCGAATTATTGAAATAAAATTAAACCATATGTTAGTCCCGAAATGACCTAGTTTGTGTCGAGTGGACGTTAAACCCCATCTCTCTCTCTCTCTCTCTCCTTTAATTACTCCAATACGTGTAACAGGAAATGTAACTGTAAAGTATGTAAAGGGTGGAACTACATCCACCATAAACAGACAGCTGTCCTATAATCATCTACCTGACTTTAATCACATTATTTTCTTATTAGTATATTAGTAGGTGGTAATGACATGACCAAAGGTAGAAATCTTTACAACAACGAACAAGATATAATCAAGTTTATTGATCATATCAGAAGTTCTACGCAGCTGTGATGTGAACTTTGCTCCCATAAATGCGTTATATGAAAACAGTGTAAGAACTCTCGTATATCTAATATTTAATTATGATTTGGACAAGTACTGGACAGACAGAAAACATTAAGTGATTTAGGCATAGCTATTTTTATTACCCACATTATCACATCTTTAAGTCTGTTCACATTTGTTATGAATTGGTTAAAGGAGTCAATAATTATCTGGACATCGTGAATCAACTAAGCGTGCAAAAACTCTCATCTATACACAAATCTCCTAATACTGATTTGGAATTAAACATTCCCGTTAAAGTTTTTTTGTGGGGGAGTCGAGGTGGCTAAGTGAGTAAGATGCTGGCTCGCTATCCGGAAGGTCACAGGTTTGTGCCCGATGTTTGACGAGAAAGTTCATTGGAATTTTCCAGGGTGGTTTTCCCTTGTCAGTGGTACAGGACGGAGGGCCTGACAACGACAGCTGTCTAGTCGTTCGCATGAGAAGAAAAACCGAGGTCCCTTATAACACTGACGTTCACGTAAATGATCCCTTGGCAGTTGGAATTCGATATAAGGGTGGGCTGTAGCGCCGCTGTCGGGGCAAAATTTCCCCCATAGCACACTGTATCGCGTATGCCTGTCGTCGTTAGTCCAGCCGGAGCAGAATAGTAGGACGTTAAACTCACATTTCATTTCATTTTAGGATTTTTGAAACCATTTCTTATCTTAGGAAAGTTAAATGAAGATGTTTTTTATATGACTTTTCTTTTCAAAGCCTTTCAGATATTGAAAATTTGAAATAGATAACCAAAAAATAACACTGAATGTATGGTATACATTATTTAATGCTATAGTTAATCTCCTTGCGCTCAAATAACGAACACGAATAATAAAACCCCACAAGTTGTGGGTTCTTCGCGTGGTTTGGTTGTGGTTCCATCGTATTTGTGTAAATTGGCCGTCTAACCATTGCGTACTGCCAGCACAACCGCAAAGCTGCACTACTTTGTTCCACGGTAAACAATGACTGGAAGATAATCGTGGGATTAAGAAAATAAATGAAGCTAATGGCCAATTGTTACTTATTGACTATTAAGTCGAGGAACATATTTTTTAATAAAGTGGCTTTCCATTAATTTCCTTTTCGTGGTGTCATCGACTTTCATTTTATAAAAAGGGAAAATTTGGAATTTTACTTGTAGGTGTTGTACACATTTAAAGATATGTCTATTTACAAATAAGGGCCCATTTTCAATATTACAATCCCGTCGATGGTTGTGCACTCTATCCCGTAGATGCGTGGACGTCTCCCGTATGTAAAAATTTAGACACCCATTGCAAGTCAAGACATATATTAGATTTTTTGTGTCACAATTCATATTGTCGTTGACACTAAATGTAAACTTAGGAAAATTATATTTGCTATTTGGCGTAATATGGTCGCAACATTTACATCGAAGATCCAGGCATTTAGATACATAAAAGCCGGCCCTTGTGATAGATGAATTGAATTTTGCTTTGGTTAGGGGGCGTTTCAGATTAGGTGGCTGTGTTACAACGCTGTCTTTGTGATTTAATGAATTGAACATTATCAAATTTCTTTCTGAGGTTGTCTTTTGATGCCAGGATTGTCCTGCTCTCGTACAATGTTTTAAAGAAATTGGGATGTTGGGGGTTATGAGTAGCGACAAAGGTAATGATATTATCCGAACTGTCTTTTGCTTTAGTAGCCCTCAGTGTTTGAATATCAATTGCCAATGCCTTATTTATCCCAACCTCTATTACCTCGAGGGGGTAATACTGTTTCAATAAATATCTTTTTAGCTCACCTAATCTGACAACCCGGAGGTCATCATCTATCACAATTCTGCATATTTTTCTAGCTATATTATTTTTGGTATGGCGTGGGTGACATGATTTATATGAAAGATAGTTTTTGGTATCTGTTTCTTTAGAATACATATCCGTTATAAGGAGTTCTCCCCTTCGTTTCACTAGAACGTCCAAGAATGCGATTTGCAGATCGTTCGTTTCAATTGTGAATTTGATATTTAAATCTAAGTCATTCATTATTTTTTGCAAATCTGCAATGTTGCCAATTCGTTAATTCCAAATACAAAATATATCGTCTAGGAATCGTTTCGACTGATTTTCTAAATATAATCTGTAATCCACGCCAATTTCTACAATTGAGTATAGTTTTTCCTCAAGGAATCCCATTGTTAAGTTCCTTAATTGTGGTGCCGCTTTGGTACCCATCGCTATACCAAGAATCTGTTTGTAATTGGTTTCGCCAAATGTAAAAGTGTTGTTAGTCAGGATGATTCGTATAGCTTTGAGGATGAAGTTGTTTGAAATTCTCTCATGACTGCATTCAGGATGTTTATCCAACCAATATTCTATGGCCTGAAAGCATAGGTCATGGGAGATGTTGCCATACATACTACAAACATCCATGGTTACGAAAACGTCGCCATCGTTCAGATTTTGGGGCAATCTGTTAACAAAATCTGTGTCATCCCGAATAACAGATTTTACATTTGGCACGTACGGCTTAAGTAAGATATCAATAAGATTTGATTGTCTATTAGTATGGCAGCACGGGCCGGCAATTATTGGTCTGAATGGAAGATCACCTGGCTGGAAAACACTGATGAATTCGACATTTTGGTGTTTAATAGACTCCTTGATCATCTTGGATTTATGGATTTTTGGAAGACCATAAAACTGGCTTGTTTTATATTCGAATTTTCGGAGATAACCCTGTTCGTTGTCCGTCAGTTCGTTTTTGTGATCTTGGATTAAGGCGTTTATTAATCCCATTGTTCTTTTGTCATGGTTGGAATCTATGGTTGTATACACCCGTTTGTTGTCAAGTATTTTAAGGACGTTTCTCTGATAATATTCCGCATCCATGATAACAATGGCACCCCCTGTATCGCTTTCCTTAATAACGATCGTGTCCTTAGATTTCAAAGATTTTATAGCACACAGTTTCTCCTTCGACACATTTGATTTTGCGTTTCGGTTTATAGGAAGTGGCAACTTGGTTAAATAGTCAATGAAATTGTCCTTGGATTAAGGCGTTTATTAATATATATATATATATATATATATATACACCGGGAAGTTATTTTAACGCTTTTGAAAATCAGAACACTGCCGTAATGGGGGAGTAATTGAACGTATCCTGATATAATTGTACACCGGGAAGTTATTTTAACTCTTTTAAAAATGAGAACACTGCCGTAATGGGAGAGTAATTGAACGCATCCTGGTATTAAATGCGCTCTAATTTATTCAGGGATTAAACATCACGAAAACTACAAAGTAATTAATCTTAGAGTTATCAAGGGGATAACTGCTCGTCTTAATTTTCGTTTTACCCATTGCAAATATTTGTTTTTGTGGCGTCATAAAAGTCACTAAAACTAGCGAGGTATCTGGAATTGTTCAGCGAGGTGATTAATCGTCTTATTTTATGCATGAGAAAGATTTTTATTTCTTGATGTAGAATATTATATTTTGTATTCGAATGAAGATTGTTTAATATACAACATGTAAAACGTTATATTGTTTAGTTGACCTGAAATTGTACAATGTTAAATGTTATTTTTTGTAGACGAGTGAAGATTGTATAATATGCAACATTTAAAACGTTTTATTTTGTAGATTGTATAATATGCAAAATGGCGATATATAATTTTATGCTTAGCATGGTGATAATATCCATGGTTCACCGGTATGGTAAGTAGATTTTTCCAAACATTTATCGACTCCACCCAGCCAAGAAATATGCATTAAAAATCTATGGAAATTTAGAGCACTTTTACAATTGCAAAGTCTGGAATGGATAATCTGAAATTTACCTTCACCAAAGTAGTAATACTAATAGTTGGGTATTTTATGATCATTCACACTGTAACGTTGAAATTTTATATAGCAGAGTCGTTTAAAGCTACATTGGGATGAGTGTTCCAAGGCTAAAAAAAAGTTTTAATAACAAGTAGTGTTAGCAGTAATATGTTTCAATTCATTGTTATTGCGAGCAGGTTATGGATTTACTTCAAAAAATTCTAGGTGGTACTAGAAGGCTTAATAACGGGGAAATCATTACATTGGCTATTTTATACATAACAATAAGCTTGTCCATCTTGCGCCTTTTGCTCAAGTGGCACCCGACCCTCTTTGTCGATCTGGCGTACTACCATCTTCCCCTTCAAGTATGGCGGTCTGCCGAAATCAGCACTGCCTTCCGACAGGTTCTGCAGAACGAGCAGCTAAGCCCCGTCGCTCGACAGCAACGATAGCGCCCCGTCCATGTGTGAGAACAGGTGTAGTACCATATGCCCTTCTTTCAGACGTTAAAAGCGGGCGCTCCCAGACCGGTCGCCACGTCCTACGTATGACTCATGCATTTTTTCTTACTACATATCTTAGTAGCCTTGTGATCGTCTAGTATTTTCACATGTCGTCTTTGCTTCCCCTTTATGTTGTATATTTACTTATTCTTATCTACCTCAGTTAGTTAAGACGTTTGTCTTACCTGGAAAAACAATGCAACAGTTCGTGTTTACATTTTATATATCAAGCTGGATATATATAAGCACAGCATAGATTGCAATACTAAAGTCATTCCCAAACCCTAGCCAGCCAGACTGGTAATCTCTCCGGAATGTAATGAAATCTACCTTAAAAGTTAGCCATGATTTATTTTATAGGACCTATGAACATCACGCACAGACTAGTCTATTCATGACCCTGAACTTGTGCAATTACTGATATGATTGGTCCCGTAATGTTTACGCTTTCTTTTAATTCTGAAATAATCAGTTTATATACTAGAATATATAAACTTTCTTTTGGTTTTGAATAATCAATCACACCAATGGATGACTCCATGAACTAGAATGTATAAATTTTATTTTATATTTTGAACTAATCAATCATATCAATGTATGACTCGATGAACTAGCATATATAAACTTTGTTTTAAATTTTGAAATTTTGGTGTTTAACGTCCACTCGCCACAAACTAGGTCATTTCGTTACTAACAAATGGTTTAATTTTATTTCAATAATTCGCTTGCAGTGGGAGGAAGCCGGAGGGGCTATCTTTGTGTTGTTGAACCCAAACCAAAGCGCTTTCTCAAATTATCGAATGATATCCTATTGCTACTATAAAACTCATAATTAAAGGTCTTTAAACACAAAACCATAAAGACAAATAAACAAAGGTGGCGTCTTCAAAGTCACAGTAAGCATCCCTGGTTACATGAATTTAAACATACAATAAAATTAAATTATATAATTACTCTTCTCTTCGTTGAGATTTGTCACTTTACACACAAATTTGTCACTATACACCCACAATTAATTACGACAACAGCGAGAAACGCGTCTTTACACCTGTCGCAATTGCCTCAATATATCTTTTCTTCATAAACAATATTTTTTTTCAGGAAATATGAATATGAATTGGGGAATTGACTATGCCTATTTGTAACCCCTCTCCCTTGGATGAAATATGGTCTGCGATTACTCAAATTTTATTATTCTATTCCAGGTATTGGCCAAATGGTAAAATCCGTTTTAGTATGCGACGTACCATCAAGGAATGATTTTTATAATTGCGTAAATTACAATGGTGAAACTAAAATAAGATGTGATCCTCACCACGCTGTTTTGATAACGAATATTACAGTGGGATATTATAATGAAAAAGAAGAGCGGACTTGTTGTCAGTGGATGCCAGACAATATCTGTACTGTAGACCTTGGTGGTGGTGAAAATACTTTGATCTCAATGCTCAGTCAATAAGAATGCATAGGCAATCAAACATGTTCTGTATCATACTTGGGAGGGTGGATTGATTTTTTAGATGATCATGACAGTTGTTCATCTCAAACTTTAATGGCAAACTTTGAATATATGTGTGTTAGTAGTAAGTATTATACGTTATATAGTGCATTTGTAACATCATTGACGTTCTGTTTATTTTAGTTTTTTTTAACTAGTTTATAAATGTGATAGGTATGTTCGTCTACATCGAATGTATTTTATGTGTGTTGGGGGTAACGGATGTAATGATCACGAAAAGACCTGATTCAACTAAAAGAAAGAATCAGGCTGGTCTCGTATTTATATAACGCTGAATTTGTGTTTACTTTCGTTTGATTCTGCATAATATGGAATAGATTCCACTCTTTTAGGGTTGAATGTTTTGAAAACCCATATGCTAAGAAACTGGAAATATGTTCACGAGGGGGGTCACGGTGGCTTAGTGGGTAAGACGCTGGCTCGCTATTCTGGAGGTCGGGTGTTCGATCCCTGCATTGGCCGAGAAAGTTCATTCAGATTTTCTGGTGTGGTTCGACTTGTCAGTGATGCAGGACGGAGGACCTGACAAGCATAGCTGTCTAGTCATTCGGATGAGACGACAAACCGAGGTCACGTGTACACATTGGCATGCACGTAAAAGATCCCTTGGCAGTTGGAATTCGATATAAGAGTAGGCCGTAGTGCCGCTGTCCGGGCAAAATTTCCCTCATAGCACACTGTATGGCGTATGCCCGTCTTCATTAGCCCAGTTCGGAGCAAAACAAGTTTCTGTCAAACGTTTCCTTTTTGACGTTTTGTGATAAAATGTTTTTGTGTTTTATTCAGATACATCAATTGGAAGTATAAACAAACCCTGGATAAACCACAACTTGAAGAGTGTATCTCTGTTTTATGATTGGAAGCGTCCCCCAGTCTTGAACGGCCATTACTATTGTAGTATTGAGATCAGAGCGGATGATAATGATGCATATATTTATCCCTGGTTCTCGTTTCTTTTATTTTATTATCGTAGTAGAGTGACGATTTATAGTAGAGATTATAGAGTTAGCTATAAAGCAAATATGACGCGTGGGGAGCGTCAAAAATATCTGGCTTATAAACAAATGAAACCAACAAAGGGACCAATATACGTGATTTATGAAACTCCCGGTCACCCATTCAATTATAGCTTTTTATGGATTAATTTTAAAGGTACATATTCTATTTTGTCGTGGTAATGACAATCTGTGTGATGAATGCAAACGCTAACATAAAAAAACACTTACGATTTTTTTTCTAATTTTTGAAAATGCATACATATAAATGTTGCAACTTAAAATTAATTGAACTTGACGTAAACTTTAAATTAGCATATATTTACTGTTCTCCGGTATAGTAATAATTCAAGTGTATATTAGCAAGACGTGGACAAACAAATGTAATTTACATTCAGGCCTGTGTCTAACTCACGTCTATATTGTTATTCAAATTCATGTTGTTGTGAGTTTTTTTTATTTTATATAGCTTCTCGAGGTCGTCTTAATGTCAACTCTAAAGGCTGTAAAAGTGGTTATACTGTTCCACCAATGTTTAACATACAACCATCTCCACCAGATCAAACTAGTTCGTCTGTACCACCAATATTTAATGTAACGTCATCTCCAGGAAATGACCAAACTACATCATCAGGTAATCATAGGTCCATGAAACCCTTACACAAACATGGGCGAAGTTGTCTTTCAGACAAAATGACCTGTATCAAAGTAAATAGAGCGCATACTCTTCAAAACCGCCATATATAATTATCTGCCCATTAGCAGATGTTTGATCTTTGATATCTTATGTTTATGTTACATTTTTCATTTCGTCGTCCAGTGAGCTAGCGACTAGACCTCGGGGTTTTGTCCCATCCATATGACTAGACACTGTCGTTGTCAGACCCGCGGCTTTCTAGCGGATGCATACAATTCTAATATAGAGAAAGCATCTAGCTGACAGCTTGGTTTCTCCTAAGACACACACAGGGAATGTCAAACAAAACTACAATATGATAATTCTCCTACCATTTATTTACATATTACATATATTTGTTTTCTACAGATAACATATGGATATATGGTTTAATTGGTGGTCTTGTTATCGTTGCTGTATTCGGCCTTGTCAAGATTGGTTTTGCCATTTAAAACAATTTGTTATGTAAGTGTTGTCATAACCATTTTGCACAGTGTGTTGTCATATATTTCAACATCAAATTCTCGAGGATGTTTGGTAAAACTAGTCGATCTTTTTTTATGATCTTCAACCATAAATCATTTTCAGAATAGTTTCCTGCTGTTTAAAAGGTTTTGCTTAAATCAATGTGACTGTTGAAACAAAATGCAGGGGCACGTGGTACGAAATTGTGATCTAATTATCGGAAAACGGGCAAAAGCATATAACTATAAATACATGTAAAAGATCATTTTTTTTATAGAAATCTTGCAAAAAAAAACGCTGTCTTATTGACATTACTACCGTCAACTATTCTGACAACTCGTCAAAGGGAGGTAACTATAGTGTCACTAGACACAAACCTACTCCCCACCAGTGCACGTTGATATTTCTACAGGCTAATGGTACATGCTAACGTTCAACACACACCATAAATGATTCATTGACGCTTCAGAATTTGGTTTGCAAGACCCCACCCACTCCGACCCCCACGCACACATCCACCCCCACCACACCCACAAGCACACGTCCACACACACACCAATTCTCAGATAAAGTGAAACACGCCAATTGTAAGTTGACATCTTTTTTTTTTAAGAGAAACTGTACCAAAAGGAACACCATAACAGCTACTGAACAACCAACTGAATCAGTAGAAATGAAGACTCAACCTAGCTCACTTCTATGATTATATTGAACCTGGTACAACGGATGAAAGTTCTGTATAATAACCACACTCCATTCAGTATACATCTACAATCTTAAACTAAAATTCTAATTTAACCTACTGTGTTCTGATCAGGCATTTTCTACTAGAAATATTGGAAACATGTCAGCCTGGGCTTATATAATATAATTACCTCTATGGTGAATACCGTAACTTGCTAATATTTTTTTTGAAAACTGATAAAATAATTCCACGGACTTTTTTCTGTTGTAAATAATTTTAATCATTAAAATAACATCACATATTTGCGGGCATAAGCCTAACCATCTAACTAACATATTATATAACTCGATTTCAATACATCGCAGCTATCTTTAGAAGTGTTTGGAAACAAGGGCACAGTAGTTTAGCACACGAGATTGAGCCCAATCCTCGTCATGAACAAATCTCGGACCACACCGATAAATTACATGGATAATATTATAATCTTTTATTCGCTCAAGTCCCGTTTAACAGCAAAGCAGCAATTATTTTGTTCGTGTGTTCATTTGATATTCCTTGTGTTTTGCTATGTGCTATTTATTATTATAGTAATTATTATTGCTGTTGTGTCTTTAATATAACCTTTAACTACGTGTTAAATCAACTTGGTTTATTGTATCTTTTATATAACTACGTGTTAAATCAGCTTGGTTTATTATAATATTTTATATAACCTTTAACTACAAGTTTAATCAGTTTGGTTTATTATAATCTTGTATATAACCTTTAACTACAAGTTTAATCAGCTTGGTTTATTATAATATTTTATATAACTACGTGTTTGATCAGATTGGTTTATTATAATCTTGTATATAACCTTTAACTACAAGTTTAATCTGCTTGGTTTATTATAATATTTTATATAACTACGTGTTTGATCAGATTGGTTTATTATAATCTTGTATATAACCTTTAACTACAAGTTTAATCTGCTTGGTTTATTATAATATTTTATATAACTACGTGTTTGATCAGATTGGTTTATTATATAACCTTCAACTTCGTGTTTAATCAGTTTGGTTTATTGTATCTCATATAATCCGTTTGTTTTATAGGGGACAGCTCACTTTCCCCACATCTATTGTTTAGAGTCTGGGTCCACCAGGCCATGACTAATTAATCAACAAAGGGGGTTTATAGTATAGGCTGTAACAAGTTTGTGACATTTCAACAAAATGATTTAAATAATATTAATGAAAAAGATTACATGTAAAAAAAATACATATAATATGGATTCTTATATTATACCATTTCCAGAATTTTAATAATACACAAATTAATACATATATAATATAATAAATATATAATAAGTACAAATATATAATAAATATATATATATTATATTATAATAATAATACATAGTAAGTGCATATATTAAAATGAGTAAATAAATAAATACATTTTTATAGAATAAATATTTATAAACAGTTGGATAAACATGACAATTCACAGTCCAACAAAATTCATAACAGTGTTGAGGTATTGAATGGGTGTCCTGGGTGTAAGTTTTTTAGTAAACTGATTTCACCAATTTGCCCAATCTTCTACTGATAGTGGGAAGTGTTCACCAGTTACAATAATTAGAGTGAGGAGTTTACACCAGTGATACTAATTAATTAGAACAGACTATAGTTCTACACCCACAGTCTAGTAACCTCCTAATCCTTTATCAAAACAATCAAATGTGGGGAAAGTGAGGTTAAACCGTTTTATTATAATCTTGTATATAACCTTTAACTATGTGTTTAATCAGTTTGGTTTATTATAATCTTGTATATAACCTTTAACTACGTGTTTAACCCTTGTGCGGTCACGTTGCACGAAAAATGTTGTCGGTAACAAGGGGTAATCTAAGACCCCAGACAAAAATAGGTTTTTAGATGCATAATTTTATTCAAATACGACCAAATTACATCTTCATATCAAGTCTGAATAATAATCAATCAGGGTGAAAAATAATATTTGAGGTATTAACAGCGTCGATATGAATTATAAGGTATTTTTGAAACCATACAAATTTACACATAACGTAATTGACATTTCCATGTAGAATCCGTCTTTTGATGGGGTTGGTAGTGTACCTAGATTTGCGTTCAAATCCAGAGTACTGGAATGACCAAAACAATATCACCAGTAAGAAAGATTCCAAATGCAAAGCTAGCACCGAGTACTGAACAGATTAGACACTTGTAACCAGCAAATGTTGAAAGGAAGGGGAGGGGGGGGGGCACAAGACCCCTTGTGTACGATAATGTAATACCCGTAGTTTCTTGTCAAATGATGAATGTTGCTACTGCCTCACGTCCATTCTATTTACAGCATAATACTCGACATTAAAGAGCTGACAATGTATAAAATTCTCGCCAGACAATTATGAACAAGTTCCTCACAAACGTTAAGGATATGGTCGGGGAGTCCCGAAATACCCCATGTATACGCACAAGGGTTAATCAGCTTGATTTACTGTATCTTATAAAGAATATAACCTTTCCCTAAATGGTTAATTACTTTGGTTTAATATAATTTTTAAATACTTGTTTATTCGGTTTTTTTATTCCTTTTTTTTATTTTTGATATATATTATTTGTTATAATTACTATATTGGCTTTTATTTGAATAAACGATCTTCATTTATTTGCTTATCTGTTTTTTTTTTCGTTAGCGAGTTTTATATTAAAACTCTCTGAGGTCTGCCATTGAGTCATGCGGTTAACACGTGCGCGCCTCATACGGTCTGGCATAATGTCAAGAGGCGTTTCGATTCACTGAATGTACGTGACAAGGAGTAGGGACGCATGTCCAACCGCGTGGGTTCTCTCAGGTCAGTGTCGAGTGGACATTAAACACCGTCTCCCCTCTCTCTCTTTTCTGTCCAGACTATAATCCCTGGAGGTCGATCTCCGTGATTATCCGGCAAAGTACCCCCCCCCCCCACACACCCTTGTCACTGGTACGGGGGGGGGGGGGGGGGTGGTGACAGCAAGAAACACAGAAAAGAGTTGGGGCAAAATCACTTTATGATATACACTAAGGAACGTCAAATCACACAGATATTGATGATTATATGCACCAAGGGCGATAACTCTAGGAGAGTTTTCCTATCATACATTTGAATATATGGACACAGACCACAAACACATTCCAACATTAATAGTGTTTTCTATATGGTTTGTTTGAGATTTTACTCAAGTTTTGCACAGTGCTATAATTGTTCTATAATTAAGAAACATTGGAAATGTTTAGAACTTAGAACAAAGGGTGCGATCTAAGACACTCCGCTATAAAAAAAAACAAAGTATAGTACTTAACGGGGCATCATTTTAACAAAGGCCTACACAGGACATCAACAAATTCCTACATCCGTTGACCTTACTATTTTTCGTTTCTATTTTTCCAGTTACCCCCCCTCCCCTATTTGCAAGGCGATTTTGTTGACGTGTAGAACCGAAGAGGGTTAATTTTCGATTTTCTGTCAGCTTGTGGTCAATATTCACGGTTTTAAGGCGGAAGGAGAACAAATTTGGTTACGTCGGCAATAGTTGCATGTGTACCAGTACAACTGTCTTAGAAAGCGTTCAATTCAAGGAAGTTTGGCAACCAGTTAGAGTCGGTCAAATAGACGAGAAATAGACAGAGAGAGCAAAATGGGGTTTAACGTCTACTCAACACAAACTAGGTAATTTCGGGACTAACATATGGTTCAATTTTCATTTCATTAATTTGCGGTTTTTAGGAGAGGGATGAAACTGGAGATCCCGGAAAAAAAACCACTAGGGTGGACGGGCAACCATATTCCTTGTCACGTACAAGCGGTGAATCAAAACCACGCTACTTGGCTCAATGGCAGACCTTATGATGCAACGCGCACGCGTTAACCATTCGGCCACCCAATCCCCTAGACGAGAATTAACATTAAAGTCAACATGGTTTACTTTCGCCAAACTCGGTGGATTAACGATCAGTTTTATTGACCAACAGAACATACAGTAACAATAAACACAGTTTATTAAGTTGGCAATATGATGTCATGACAGGGCATTGAATGGACAGCTGCATCCTTACTAAAAGAAAACTGCATTTCTAATTGTGCCCAACAAAATATTATTAACTAAAATGGATGAATGTACAGTGCCAACTAGAAAGTGAGTTGGTGATTTACCCAGGCTTGCATAGTAACTTCCCATACTCAAAACTCGCTTTGCTACATGACTTAAATATTATTTTTGATTTTGTCTATGCTTTTCCGGTTCCTGGCGTATCGTTAACTACGCCGAGGTAACGTCTTGGATAACATTATATTATTTTCATGGTTGAAGGAAACAAGTCTTTGATAATACAGAATATGCGAACCTTACTAAAATACAGTTCATTTTATTTTTTTTTTTAATGCAACTGATAGATCATAATTGTTTATCAAATGTCAACCCTCGCAATTTGTACCTCTCGCATACACAGCTAACAACCACTTCGTGCTTCTCACATACATAGCTAACTATCACTTCGTTCTCGCAAACATAGCTAACTAGCACTTCGTACCTCACACATGCCTAGTTTACTACCACTTCGTACCTTTCACATACAAAAACTAACTACTATTCCGTAACCTACTTCTCTCACATACATAGCTAACATCCCATTTCAAAATTCACATTTACATTTATGTGCTGTATTCTCAGTAATTGCCTTTTCTTTTGACCCTGTTACAATGTTTGTACTAGACAAAACTTCAGTCATTCTAGCTTAAACAACAAACGTCTAGATCTTGACCAGTCATTAATGGAAATAACCCCAAACTCCGAAATAATCTCCATCATTTCATCATAAACATTAAAATATTTATAACCGGTATTTTTAAACATGACACGAGGCAACACTGTGAAACTTCTTTTCGAAATAGTTGCAAGAATTCAGTGACGTATCGTCGTTGGTCTGTTAACAGCAGGGGCAGGGCCGGTACTTCATCTCAGATAGTAAGGCCCGAGTCCCCGTCACCACTGTGAATTACTCATTACCCCCTCACGCGAACCCCAGCACATGTATGTTATTTGAAACAATATACTGGTGGGATTTAAGAATTCTCTTTTAATGCCATGTATCTTTTAACACTTAATCCCTTCAAATGTTGGAAGTGTTGACATGCAACTGAAATGTGATTTTTGGCATGATGGTAGGCTGAACATTTACTGACTCACAAAATGCAACTCAATCTGACCATAACAACTTTACGCTGCATTGAAATGTAGGTCCTAAAGGGGAAACGCCCAAGTTAGTAACCGCTTGCATTATGCTGCATGGCATTGTCCGGTAGAGCGTAATCGGCGAAAACAGTGTTAGCACCCATGAACTCACATTAGCACCAGTAGGGGAGATGTGGTTAAGGTGGTCATCGGGGCAAGTTGAGTCACCCACTCTAGCTTGTAAAGATGCACGAATGGTGATGCCATCTATTTAACAGTCTAATCAATCATAGTTGTTAGTGTGGGTACATGTTCAATTTCATCAAGAACAAAGGAACCACGTATAAAAATCTAAATTTAAAACTCAAGTCAGTCTTATCCAAATGTAAGGACTATGCAAAAGCACGCGGGAATGCCGCAAAACGCGCAAATGAAATACGGGCTTTAAGGTTGT